CTAGGGATTACATTCAGACCATGCTCAGTGACAAGCGCTACTTGCTGAGATGTCTTGGGGTCCGGAACTTTCTAGAAGGCTATAGGATGTTCAAAAGTTCCAGCTATGGGAGCACCTCAGGATCTCAGGGTCTGAAATTTTCAGAATAGGGATGTTTACCGCATCTGTCAAATGTCTTCTAGTCCAAAACATGTCGAACCTCTGAATACACCTTTGGTCCCAAGCTCTCCAAGTGAGGAGTGCTCAGTCTGTGCAGCACAATGAAGGAACCGACCATTAATGACACTACAAAACACAAACACACGGAGTCCTGGAACACAGCATCTGGTCCTGGAGATGGCGGAATTGGGCCTACTAAGGTATGACACAACCTTTACCAGAGCAGGAGGCCCCAGAGGAGAGGGGCTTCCGTATCAGGTCCTCCGTCACACAGCCCGAGAAGAACACAGGGAGCAGGCCAGTGAGCATCCTGTCAGTGTGCTTCTGGCACATGGGGAGAGGAGCAAGCAGGGGCATGGTGCCTAGACCGCCAGCTTCTTTTAGATGGACAGGAAGACAATAGATCCGTGTGTGTTCCGAGAGCAGAGAAGAGCCCGCCCTGGGCCCAGCGTGGAGGATTTGCTCCTGGAAAGGTAGGTCCTCCCCTGGGTGCTGCGATCCTTTGGCTGTCTTCTCCCCCAGGGAGGATCTTGGATGACGAAGTTGGAGGAGCGAGCTGGGCTGTGGTGGCGCACGTCTTTGATCCCAGCACTCGGGAGGCAGAGGCAGGCGGATCTCTGTGAGGCTAGCCTGGGCTACAGAGTGAGTTCCAGGAAAGGCGCCAAAACTACACAGAGAAACCCTGTCTCGAAAAATAAAAATTAAAATTATAATAAAAAAACAAAAGGAAGTTGGGGGAGGCTCTCCTGAGAGGGTTGCCTCCCTGTGCCAGTCACATGCCCCAAGGTCCTGCCCCCACACTCTTGCCTCACCCCAACCCACCTACCCTCAGCTCCCTGCAGGGCTCTTCTTATACCCCAGGACATGTCTTCCAGGGGCTCTCTCTGCACCCCGCTCCAAGCTCAGGGGCTCTCCACACCCCAGGCCTGACCTCTCTGCGCTCTGTGCCTCTTCTCCGCTCCTCCCTGGGACACCCTCCTCCCCCTGCTTCCCTCCCCTCTCTCCCTCTCTTCCTCTCCTCTTTACCCTCTCATTTTCCTCCCCTCTCTTGTCCGTATTCCTGCCACCTACTGACAGACTGCCGCAGGGACAGCCCTGCACCCCTAGTCCCAGCCGTTTCCATGGATCTGGGCCCAATACAAACAGCCCAGGACCCCCCACCTTCAGCCTGGCCTTGGGAGTAGGGTTGGGTGGGCAGATGAGGTCATCGCCACAGGCCCCCCAGCAGGCCAGCCGGCCTGTGAGGGGAGGAAGTGTTTGTTTGCTCTTGTTTCCCTGGCAACTTGCTGGACCCCCCTCCCCCACTCCCATCCCTGAGCAGTCCAGCAAGGCTGCTGATAGGACCACTGCCCTTTTCCAGGCCAGACCTTGCGGTGCTGAGACCCCAGGCCATAATTCTGAGCTGCTAGCAAGGGCCCGTGACCCTTAACCCCACTTCTGGAGGTAGAGTTCGGAAGATGGACGTAAGCCCTGTCCTGGGCTGAGGACCGGCCTGAAGCTCCACCTGCTGTTCCCCGGGCCGGCCGGGCCGACAGCACCTCCCTGGGGCAACAGGTTGGGGTCAGCTCCAACCTTCCAGGAACAGAGCCCAGCCATCCCTGGCAGGGATGTGGCAGGACGGGGCAGAACTGTGCCCCGGTGTGGCTAGTGTCCAAGCAGCTCCAGGGTCCAGGGCACCAGCAGGCCCCTCTGAACCCCTGTATGTGAACCCCTGTATGTGTGCCCCGGTCCCTCAAAGTCAGCAGCAAGTCCCTTCGAGATTCTCTTGTGTGCCGAGGGATCATGGAGAGCCCCACGGAGAGAGGGGTTCTCCCAGGTCGGACTAGGTCAACTCAGTTTCCAGGAGAAGCTCAGGGGGGCACACGGCTTGTGTGTGTGCATATGCAAGCAGGCTAGACCCGGGCCCCAACCCAACCTGTTCACAACTTCCTACTGTCAGTACCCCCCACCCCAGCCTCCCCCACCCTGACACCCCGTGGGAGCTTACCATGAGCAACCTGGCCCAGGAACCGGGGACACTCAGGACACCTCCTGGGGTCCTCATGCTCCTCAACACATGCAGGGTAGCCGAGGGCTTGCTGCAGGTTATACGGTTCCGGGGTCCAGCCTTCTCCTTCCCCTTCTCCCAGTCTGTCCTACGTCCTCCCCTTCCCCTCCTCCCTTTCCCCCCTCCTCCCTCCCCCTCCTCACATCTTCCCTTTCTCTCTCCTCTCCTCCGCCATTTCTTCCCCTCACTCCCTCCTCCTCTCTACCTTCATCCTTGGTGTCTGAAGTCAGCCTTACAGGCAAGGCGGGATCCAACCCAATACCTTCCCGCTGCCGCACATTCAAGCCTTTCTGAGACATTACCTAAGTGCCTTCTTACCTAATCCCCCAGCCATCTCCCACACCAGCCAGCCCCGCTGGGAGGAGAGCCAGATGCCTGCCCCGGCCCCAGCCCTCGCTCAGCGAGTTGCCTGGTTGCTCTCTGGCTGGCCCCTAGCACCTGCATGTTCTGGGCCTGTGCCCCTACCTGTGAAGGACCCCGGGGCCACACCATTGAAGAATCCCTGTCTCGCGGGACCCACCCCTTGTCTGTGCTCACCTGCCAGCCCTCACGGTTGGATACCCTGCCCTCTAAGAACTGTTGGGGAACCTCTTCTCCAACCAAGAGTAGGAAGCACCTTTCTGGATCAAGGGTGTTTTGTCCACTGGAGGAAGTAACTCAGTGGGAGGTCTTTCTTCCTGCCTCAGTGGCCAGTGGGAGCCCATCCACTGAGAAAATCAGACGGAGGTGGATCTAGACCTCACCAGGGTGGACGGCTGTGCAAGGCAAAGACCGTGTAGGAGCTAGAGGGTGAGCTACAGCCAGCACGGTGCCCTACTGTCCCCATACACACACAGACATGCACACAGACAGACATGCATGCAGACACAATGTACCACACAAGCATGCATGAAGAGACAAACCTAGGGATGCAGCCATGTACAGTCACAAGATAGAGCGATATGTGGACACAGACGCAGGACACGGCTGACATGTGTACATGCACAAACACAGACAGACCTATGGAGAGAGCCCCTCTGAACATGTATAGACATCTGTGGGCACACAGACTTAGGCATACAGACATAAACATACTCTTACTCACTGGGTCATACTCATAGATCCTAAAAGACATCATGCTATATGGATCTTTGTGAGTTCGAGGCCAGCCTGGTCTACAGAGCGAGATCCAGGAAAGGCGCAAAGCTACACAGAGAAACCCTGTCTCAAAAAACCAAAAAAATAAAAAAATAAATAAAATTAAAAAAAAAAAAGGATATGGCCTTTAGAGATGTTAGCCAAGACCCTAGGAGAATGACCAGGACCACCTTCCTGGAGCGGGGGCGGGGACAACGATGACAGTCTATGCACCCAGGTGGACACAGATCAGATTGACACATTGGCCAATCCTGCCTGTCCAGCGACTTTGTACAGATGGGATTAAGCCAGTACTCATAGTACTCATCCAGGAGAATGGCCCCACGAAGCCCCCCATAACCCCAGGAAGGAACCATGATGCCCCCCCACACCACACCCTGCCATTTGTCAGTCACAGGGTCCTGAAGAGCTGAAGGGGAATACAGCTGGTGGGCTTCGGTCTGTGATCAGAGGCTCAGTGAAAGTCCAGCATGGGCATCTTCTTGGAGGCAGGGTTATAGATCTGGACATCTCGATCAGTGGAGCAGATGCTCCACAGTCCTCAGTGGGCAGCCCCTCCCCTGGTGTTTATTGGTATAAACCCTGGGGCAGGGTGGGGAGCAGAACACAGACAGATGCTAAGGGAGCCACTAGGGATCCAGGCAAGGCAGGTCACAGTAGCTGGGGAGAGGTGGGGGAGGGCTGAAGTGGGGGGCACCACTTCGAAGGCACCCCAAACACAGGGCAGGAGGTCCCCTGCCATAGAACAGATAGAAAAGGCTGCAGGAACCCGCTGGGGGAGGAGTGGTAGGAACTCAGATGGAGGTTTTGACAGGACGGTTCCCTTCCTAGGTCACATGATCAGAGAAGGCTTCTTTGAAGTGCGTCAACTCCCACCCAGGCTCAACACCAAGGCAGAGAGAGACCAGGGGTCTGGGACGGCCACACAGCCTAGGGTCATCAGTCCTCCAGGGTTAGCAAGTCTCTTCACCCCTGGCCCTCAGAAAGGAGACTCCTGTTCTCCCCATCCCCCAGATACCTTTTCCTCCTTCTTTCTCCCTCCCTCCCATGTTCTCTTTCAGCCTGAACCCTCCTCCCCATCTCCAGGTCTTCCTTTCCCTCCTCCTCCTCCTCCTCCTCCTCCTCCACCCCAGGCCTTTCCCACATCTTCTCCCTCCCCATCCTTTCAGGTTCCCCCACAACCTCTATGAAAGCAGCGGACTTGGGTTGTCTATAATTTAAAATACATTTATTTAGTGTTTCCATTTGTTTCTGGTTTTGTTACACAAAGCTGTTAAATAAATACATTCTCTGCAGTCACTCAGGTTCACACCTACTCGCCACACAGATGAGGTAGAGAAATCACAGGCTGCACAAGACTCCACACAAAGACAGCGCTCCCTGTGTGTGTGTCCACTGCCCTGCCAGACGGGCCAGCAGTGAGCCTCAGAGCCAGCATCCCCTGGGTGGCCGGCTGGAGCAGGGCAGCCGCTCACTCGACTGCCCATAGAAGAGAAGAAGATCAAAGAGGCCCTGGCCTGTGGGAGTTGCTTCATCCAGAAAGACATTCTAGGATATATTTATACAGAAACAAACCAGCCGGCAGACATTTTCATTCTGCCTTGTTTTAAAAAATACTTTTCTGAATATTGAGGACATAGAGCTAAATGTGGTATTCGATAAAAATATTCTTCCTCTGAACTGGCAGGCTCCCTTCCCCAGGTCTGACAGAGATGAAGCTCCAGTCTGTGGTGACAGTGGGACTGGGTACAGACATGTGAGAAGTGTGGGGTGCACCCCCCACCCACCAGCCACTGCGCACTGCCACTCACACTCTCATCCTGGGAACGTGGCATTCGTTGGTGGGCGATCATGAACCACAGGAGAATAAACTTTGCTATTTACACATCCAAGAGGGACCAGAGGCCCTCCTCCACATAAATAGGTTTCCTTTTAAGACACAGTCTTGCCACCACCCCAGGCTTGGGCATTCGGGACTCCGGGAGCTCCAAGGGCCACTCCCTCCTCAGTAGTTCCTCCCTCCATGCCTGCCACCTGCCCACACTCGAGCCCACGCAGCCACAGGATTCCCACGAAAACCTAAGGCTGTGCTTTCTGGGAGCCGAAGAGTCACCATACTGCAGAGGGGCATAGGATGCTGACCGTGACAGCTCAGAGTCCATACACTCACACACTCACACAACCCATGCACACACACACACAACACCAGCTCAGTGTAGCCACCTTTCCCCTGCAAAGACATCAGCGAGACCTGGTGACAGCAAGTGTGTCTGCCCCCCCCCCATTCCCTCCCTTGGTGACACAGAGCAAGCATGGCTTCCTGAGATGGACATTCAAGAAGCTAGTCCTGCCTGTCACCACGCCCATGCCTCCAGCACCCCACAATCCATATCCAGCAACCTGGTCACTACACCTGCAGGGCACAGAGCAGGGGCCACACCAAGGCCTCTGACCCCCAGGTAGGATAGAATGAGAGGTGGGTTCCCAGAAGTCCTGGGGGCCATGGCTAGGCCCCATTGCTTCATTTCTTTCCATCCATGGCCTTGACTTAGTGGTTTCAAACTAGAGCAAGCAGGGAAAGAGACAGGAAAGGAACAGGAAGGTGGGGCCTCCCAGACTGGCTTGGCTGGGCCTGGGGCAGGTCAGAGGGGGAAAAAAAAGTCACAGATCAGGAGGCAAGGGGATAGAGAAAATAATAATTACTATATTAGTTAAATAATAATAATTTAAAAGTCACTGATACTCCAAGGAAGTGCTCGGGGTCAGAGGGCCAGAGGCTGGGCCCTGGAGATGGAGTGGCTGCTCTCTCCTAGTGGTTTGGCTCTCTGAAGACAGTGCTGGCATCAGGCTGCTGGGCCAGAAGGGCAGCCATGTGATTACGAAGGTGCACCTGTCCTCCAAGCCTCAGAGGAAGCCAAGAGGCAGGGAGGACCAGTCAACACACTGGTCCCTGACGAGGGCTACACTCTAGGGACTGATGTGTCAGGGACCAGGGACGGAGGCAACTGAGAAAGCATTACTGTAACGCTCTCGGGTCGGGGGAGGAAGCTTGGGGCCCAGGGCATAAGCGAAAGGGTTGAGGAGGCCAGACAGGGGCCAGCCCCGCCCTCTGGGCCTTTGAGAAGGGAGACAGCCAACCAGCTGTCCACATACCAGGGCCCCAGTGTGCTAGGGGCACCTCTCCTTCCTTGCAGACCTTTCGTGTTGTTTGTGACACCTGCACCCCCCACAGCAGGACGGGCTGGACCTGCAGGGCTCACTCTATGCAGGTTAAGACCCCTTGCACGATGTGCGACGCCCGCATCCCGGCAGAGCCCAGGGGTCAGCTCCCGCGGGTGTAGCATTCTTCGGGTACTGTGTGCAAAGCCCACACACATCCTTCGCGGCAGGGCCACGGGGGCCTCGGGTCAGCCCTTGCAGGTGTAGACCTCCTCTCGCTGTGTACACTGCCTGCACTCCACGTAGCAGCACCAGCGTACCTGGCATTGGCAGGGCCTGGTCACCACCCGGCTCTGTGTGTTGTGGCCACGGCCACAGCAGATACTCTCACAGTTCTTCTCACGGTGGCACCTGCGGCCTGCAGTGCCAGGGGAAAAGCGGCCAGCTAGGCAGAAGCTGGGAGAGTCGTCCAGGTGCACCAGCTCTGGTGTTCGGGGCAGTGGGTCACCACCTCCGGAGCCAGAGGCCCGGCCCCTCGGTGGGGAGATGGCACCAGCCTCGCCGGTGGCTTCATTGGTGGTGCTGCCCACCTTGAGCGCGGTCTCGTATTTGTGTTTCAGGTGTTTGCCCACCTCGTGGAAGGGTGCTAGCTGCCGCCAACAGGTCCGCACCGTGCAGGAACCAGACACGCCATGGCATTTGCAGGTGGTCTCCACTCCGGCCTTTATCACCTGCAGCGGGGAGAGGGAGCGTGAGGAGCATGCCAGGAAGGCCCAGAAACATCAGAGGCTGGCACCTCAGCCCACCCTTCTTGCCCACGGTGCAGCCCTCACAGAGCCCAAGACCAGAGCCTGGCCAGCAGGGGTCAGCACTGTGCAGCGCACAGGAAGCCCAGCAACCAGGATCATAGTCTGGCTCTTGCCCCTCCGAGTCAGGACTGCCAGGGGACAGAGGCCCTAAGGCCAGCACCTTGACTTCCAGGACAGACCTCTGCACCTCTGTGACACTGGCTGAGCCCACACCCGCTCTGAGACACTTCCTGCCTAACCTCATAACCATCCCTGTCCCTGTCATCAACAATGACAGGATTGCCAGGGTCTCTCCTACTGATCTCAGCGCACTGCTCACTGGGCGGATGAAGACAAGGATCCCCTGGTGCTCTCTGCCCAGGCTGACCACACCCCTCCTGAGCACCGAGCTCCATGTGGACATGGCAAACTCAAGCCCTGCCCACTTAAGGGTCGGCCTGTGAGGGAGTAGCTGCAGATGCAGAGAAAGGCGGGAAATAAGCTTCAGGAAAGGTAACTTCTTCAGCAAATGCTGTGCCTAGGAGAGCTGCACCCCTCGGCCCATGGCCACAGGTCGGAGCAGGCATGGCCCAGCACCAAAATTCCAAGTCTGGTAAGCCTCCAGGGAACCCTGGCCAAGGCCTTTCTCTTCTCGGGACTTAGGGTTCCGCCTGAGGGACCTTCCGCCTGACCTCTCATGCCCAGGATCCCTCCAAATGTTGTTTCAAACCTTAGAGAGTTGTGGGAGGGAAGAATGTCAGGGAGGGGGGCACCTCGTCCCAGGTGGGCCTTAAGCCACTGCTGAGCTCCCAAGCTGGCCCCCAGGAGCGTCCACTGGAGAGGGATTAAGAAGTGTAGCTACTTCCTCACTCTCCTGCCAAGCAACCAGAGTCCCACTTAACCACGCTTTCCTGAGAAACCAGGACAGATTTAATTAAAGCGCGGCTGCCTGGGAGCAGTAAGCTGGTGGAGCACGTTCACACATTCTGACTTTTCATTAATAGCTCAAAAGGGTAAGGTGGGGAGGGAGGGTCCAGCAGGAAAGAAAAGAACAGCCTGGCCTTGAAGATTGAATCTGCCCTCCCGGGCGTCCCTCCCCATTAGCCTAGGCCTGGGAAGGCACTGGTTGGAAAGAAGGCAGACCAATCCTTTAATAAGTGGGGGATTCAGAACTCCGATTACTCAATAACAAGGAGCTCAGGGCAGGACGGGCTCTAATTACCTTGCTGTCCTCCCCAGACTGGAGATGCAGAGCCAGGCAAGGGGAGGAGGAAAGGCCCCCAGCTCCTGAGGGAGGTATGGACCCTGCTTTCCCAAGCCCCAGGCTAGAGTTTGGAATTTGGGTCATTCAAAGATGATGTGGTGGCGGGGGGTGGGGGGTGAGGTGGGGGGTGGTGGGGTGTATGTGCACAGGGTTCTGTGATCCCATTCGGCAACAGGTAAACCAGGAGCTTCAGAGTTATAAGTGACATCCAAGACATGCAAGAGGTCAGGCAACTCCAGAGCTTGGTCATGCCTGCAGCTCACAGCTCCCCAAAGGCCTACTAGAGAGCTAATACATCCCCTTTTCGCTTGTTTGTAGAGTCGGTCTCTGTCTTCCAGAACAGTCTTAGCCAGAGACAACACTGGGCAGCCTGGGCAAACTGGTCCTGGACCTTGTGCTCTTCCTTGGAACCTCCCGTCTGCTCTACTGTGGCTGCTCTCTACTTCTGTGGTGACTCCGAGGGTCGCTTTGGCACGGAGGATACAAAACCGCCAGCCTCTGGGGTGACTGTGCAGAGAGACTAATCCCCAGGTCCTTGACTTGCCAGGAACAGGTGCAGAAAGGAAGAAGACCCTTCCCTAGACTACCATGAGGCACCTTCATGACTAGGGACCCCATCTGTTTCATATCTAAGCAGGATTCCAGGGCCTGGCTGGAACTGCATGGCTGGAACAGGCAGCTCCTGACTCCTCCCAGCCCCTTTTCTTCTTGGGTCCCAACCACACACACCGCCCTCCTCCAGTTATTCACTCTTCCTTCATCCACTCCGTGCCCGGCCCCAGCCTCCTTGTACCCAGCCTCTCCCACCTGCCCTGTATAGGTCTACTTAGTGCCCAACCCTAAAGTACTCACTGAGGCCCAGCTCCTCTCAGACAGGACAACCTCCCTCATCCCGCCCTGTGCCCCAGCCAGCTTGCCTTCACACCCACGAGGTTGTTGTGGAAGTCCACTCGGGCTCGCAGATCCTTGCTAGACCGCCGGCCCAGGAACTCCTTGACAAACTTGCTGCTGTACTTGAGGTTGTCTCCACAGCCACCCCACTGCCAGGCCTCACGGTTCTCCAGGTCAGGCGCCTCATCACAGGTACAGCGCTCCATGCGTCCTGCGCTGCACGCCTTGGCCAGTGCGTGTGTCAGACCCGCGGAAGAGATGGCGTAGAGGAAGGCAGTCTCCTTGAAACCTGGGGACGGCAGCAGAGTTAGCGCGGCCCAGTGGACAGCCAGGCACTGTAACCTCACAAGCCACCTACCAATTTCACATGTGTGCTAGCTGGGTAGGGGGTGGGGTACCGGGCCTTTGAGGGCCTTTGGCAGGCACCTGGAGAGAGATGCCAAGGTTTCAGTTGTGTAGGACAGGCTGGGGAGTGGCTAAGGCTTCAGAGCCTACTGTGGTACCTCTAGCCTGGTAGTCACAGATCTCATCCAGGTCCCCAATGTCTTGGCCTGTCCCTGGGGTCCTTGACAAATCCAGCCTTAGACCTCAGGTCCTCTACTAACTTGTGTATTATCTATCTATCTATCTATCTATCTATCTATCTATCTATCTATCAATCATCTATCTGTCTCCATCATCATCTACCTATCAATCATTTACTTGTATATTTCCTATTATCGATCCACGTCTATATATCATCTATTTATTATCAATCATCTATCATCTATCTATGCACCTATATTGGCAAGTACTCTACCACTGAATTAACCACTATTCCCTCAGGTCTTCAGTTTTTAAGGTTATGAAGAGACTCCCATGAGCTCCTGTGCCCAGCGGAAGGAGGGGCAAGGAGGATTGGGCCTGGGCCTGAGGCTTTCAGTGAAAGTTGATGGTATGCCGCCACCTGCGCACACATGCTCACATGACAGGGAGAGGAGACCGGAGGGTACGGCTGGCTGCAGGGAAGCAAGCGAGAGCTCACCTCGCTTGAGCAGGCTGGCTCGGTAGCGGCCCTCCAGGGTGCAGTTCCAGCGCTCAAAGCGGAACTGGTACTGGCACTCCAGGGCACTCATGCTCACAGCCTCCACCAGTGTCTCGGCCACACCCGGGTCCCTGCGGCACATGCGTCGCTGCTTGCGCTCCAGCTTCAGCCTGTCACAGGCCTTGTAGTGGGCTTGGGCTGCAGCCTCCGTCTCCAGGGTCAGGGGGAGGATCGTCAGGGGTTCACTGCCAGTTAGCCTGAGGACAGAGAGGAGAGAGTGAGCCCCTGCCACAGGGTGGGGAGAACCGTCTGCACCGAAGTGTCTGAGGGTCTCCCTGGGGACAGAGGAACCAGCGCACTAAGCCATGTTAGAGGACAGGAGTGGGAAGACCCCAGAAAGAATCAGGCAGTACATAATAAAGATCTCTCACACTTACCAGCACTGATGGATAAACACCAGTCCCCAGTCACACTCTCAAGAGCACAGCGCTGTAGGAATACAGCAGGAAATGTAGGCCTACAGTGGGCAAAGGGCCAGGACCAGGACCCAGGCGATGTCCACACGGTCCTCCTCCCCAGCCTGGAGACCCATCCCTGTGCTATGACCAGCCAGGAGTGTCCTGGGCTCGCTTCTTCTCCCCGACCCCCTGAAGCCTGTCTGGATGCCATGTGGTCTGGCTGTGATAGTCTCTCAGCCTCAGAACTGTGGGCACACTGGCCCCTGGAGAAGCAAGCTCTGTTCACCACATTCCCATTCACAGGCCAGGATAGTGTCTACCCTACTGCATAGGGTCTACTCTAGGAGTAGAGAGGAGGGACAAGGCCTGGGGGTACGTAAGGGGGGCAGACCCTGGGGGGTACATAAGGGAGGGGCAGGGCCTTAGAGAAAAAGAAGTTGTCGTCTCCAGAGGTTGGAGAGAGACCTCCTGGGTTAGGAGGAAGCTAAGAGGCAAGAAGGCCCAGTCACAGAAGCCTTGAATCATCAAGGGCTAGATGTTGAACACAAAACCTTTGGGGTCCTCCAAAGGAGCTGGGCAGAGCATCTCTCAGGGAGCTTTATGATAAAATGCAAGCCTTCCCACCAACTCTGCTTACACAGACAGCTCCAACATCTCAGACACCAGATGCCTCAGGTGCTTCCACCAAAAACACAGGGTCAGGGGAAGAGCCAGTGATGCCCAACGCTGCAAAAACCAAGAAAGCTCCGAGTGGTGACCTCTGACCTCGGACAGGAATGCCATCACTATTGCTCAGAACGGAACACAGAAAGGCCTCAGCTGCCAGTCTTTACATCACCAGGGTACTCCATCCAAGATAACAACGTCAAGGCCCCAAGGAGGGGACTGGGGACTACGTGTGACATGCAACTGGAGATCTGGACAGGTAGAGGGGATCAAGGAATGAGCAGGAAAAAAGGAAGGAGGAAAAGGGTAGAAACGGGAATGTTGAAAGAGACTGTGCGGCATCCCCTGATGCTTGGACATGTCCAGACAACATCAGTTCACACCCTGCCCGAGGGGACGGAAGGCAGGGTGCCCCTGAATTCTTGGGCAAACACGTATCACCATGTAAACAGGGACTTGAAGAGATCAGGGTCCCTGTCTGGGCCAGCCTGCCCCTCTACTGTCCTCTGGGGCTGACTTTGTCTCAGAGCCCTTTTTTGACTCTGGATGGATGCAGTGCAGATATCTGGAAGGCATGTCATCAGAATGACAACATTCAGGGTCACAGAAACAGGACTAGGATTTGGGGGTTTGAGTGCCTGATTGAGCGGACTTGGAAGGGGCTGGGGATCACCTAGTCAAAGTTCCCAGGAGACCAGCATCAAGTGTAAAAATAGTCCACGGAAGTGTGGAAGAAAGGGTGAAGGGTCCTAAGATCACTCTAGGAAGAAGTGTGTCCTTCCTCGTGACTGAGTGCGGGTGTTAGGGGTGAATGCATCTGAATAGCTAAAAGACTACAAGCCTTTGGGGCGTTGCAGAGGGCACAGAAGTAAGGCAGTAGACCATCTTGGAAGCTGTTTGCAACTTATTTCCCACAATAAACCCAACAGTATGAGTGTGTGTGTGTGTGTGTGTGTGTGTGTGTGTGTGTGTGTATGAGAGAGAGAGGAAGAGAGAATGTGCACATGTGTATGCGCATGTGCATGTGTGTGTGTGAGAGAGAGAATGTGCATGTGTGTGTGCATGTGTGTGTGCGCGTGTGTGCGTGCACACGCGTGTGCATGTGTGACTGTGGACATATATACCTTTCTATAAACGAATGGCCACAGGAAGTAGATGGGAGTAAGAGGTCCTGGTGTGGTGTTGTCTGAGAGTGACGCCTAATGCTGTGCTTCCTACCTCAAAGGTCTTCCCTGGGCTCATGCTTTGCTCTCCAGCGGCGGCATTATTTTGGGAGCCTTCCCCAGGAAGTGTGGCATGGCTGGGAGAGGTAGGTCATTGGGGGGGGGGGCGCCTTAGATGGCTCTGCTCAGCCCTTGGTTCTCGTCACATCCTTGGCTTCCTGGCCCAGAGTGAGGCAAACAGCCTCTGCCACACACCCCACCATGCCTCCCCACCATGCCGGACTGAAACCCTCTGAAATCCTGAGCCGGAACACAGCCTCCATTAAGTTGTTTGTGTTGGGTATTTTAGTTATTGGGATGTAAAAGTCACTAACATAATAGATGACAGCAATGTGCTATGCGTCCCAAATAGCTAGAAAGACTTTGAAAATTGAAGAACTGAAGTATTTTAGAAGACCGTGTTTACTCTAACTTCAAAACCAAAAAAACCTGCACGTATGAAAACATCGCTGACTCCCCCTTAGTATGCACATTTTTTTATGTATCAGTTAAAAAAATGAAGAAAATAACCAGGGAGTGGTGGCGCACGCCTTTAATCCCAGCACACAGGAGGCAGAGGCAGGCAGATCTCTGTAAGTTCAAGGCCAGCCTGGTCTACAGAGTGAGTTCCAGGGCAGCCAGGACTACATAGAGAAACACTGTCAAAAAAACAAACAAACAAACAAACCAATTCCCAGGAGAGGACTAGTGCAGGGGTCAACGAGATGGCTCAGCAGGTTAGGGGGTTGCAGCCAAGACTGCCAATCTAAGTCTGATAGCCAGAACCCACAAGGAAGGAGAGAACCAATTCCTGAAAGCTGTCATGTGACAACATCCACATGCATTCTGTGACACACATGCATACTCCCCATCCCTAACCCCCCGACACACAGACACTTTTTACAAAAGAAAATACAACTGTTCTTAGAACTCAGGTGCTCATCTTCACTGAACACACACACACACACACACACACACACACACACACACACACACACGATGGCACAGGCATGTCATCCCAGTCACTCAGGAAGGAGGGTTATGAGTTTAATGCCATATGCCATCCTGGGCCAAAAAGCGAGACCCAGTCAGAAAAACAGAAAGAGGGGAAGGAGAAAATGAGAGAAGAGGTGAGGAGAGTTTTGAGCTACAGAAGGTCTGAGCTGGCTAGTTTTAGGTGAGCCTGACACAAGCGAGGGTCACTGGAGAGGACGGACCTCAGTTGAGAAAATGCCTCCGTAAGATCCCTATAGGCAAAACTGTAGGGCGTTTTCTTAATTAGTTATTGATGTGGAAGGGCCCAACCTATGGCGGTGCCACCCCTGGGCTGCTGGTCCTGGGATCTATAACAGAGCAGGTCATGAGGAGCAAGCCAGTAAGCAGCACCCCTCCATGACCTCCGCATCAGCTCCTGCCTCCAGGTTCCTGCCCTGACTTCCTGATGAACAGTGGTGAGGAAGTGAGACCCCAATAAGCCCTCTTCTCCCCAAGTTGCTTTGGTCATGGTGTGCCATCACAGCAACAGTAGCCGTGACCATGACAATGTCCCCATTTACAAGTGACTTGTCAATGGCACAAAAGTGACAGGGATCCAGGAGAGATGGCACCGTGGACTTGCTGTCTGCTCTTTCCTGTGCTGGCATTATGCAGCACAAAGCTCCTTGCAGCCGGCCACAGGGTCCTAAGAGGAACACCGATGCCCAGAAGTGACACAGGCCGTCAGCTTACAATGAAACAGGCTTGGCGTTGATTCTACCCCACTCTACGCCAGGCTCCGTGTTCTGAGTGTGTGCACTGGCCTGGCCTGAGCTGGGACGTTGGAAGGGGGGGAATAGTCCATGCATTTTGGGCTTTTAATATGCCATAGGTTTCTCAGGACATAACCTATCTTAAGTCAAGGTGCATTGTGCCACACGGCCCTCCCTTGTGGGAGAATGCAGTGCTGGTGAGTGTTCAAGAAAGAAGTAGAGAAGGGCTGGATCTGCCCTATCTCCTGTGCCCTGGAGTGAGCAGCAGCCCTGTGCCAACACGGAGCCCACCCAACATCCCACAGATGGCATGCCCAGAAGCTTGCAGACAGACTTGGAGACAGAGGAAAACACTCAGGACAGGCCACCTGGGGAGGGGGAGCACATTCTTTTCTTCACAGCTGTGTGCATCCCTGGGCACAGATGGCTTCTTCACAAACACGTGGCAAGTGCCTGCCTATATGACTCTCTACCCAGAGGTTGTGGCCCTGCAGCCCAGACAGCATCCCCTGTATCCTGTCCTGGCATGGCACAGGCCCTGCCCACTGGACCAGCTGCCTGCCACACACAGAGCACCTGCTGCCAGGCTCAACGCAGCTGCCGCCCGGCCCTGGTGGTGTCTGGCCTAACATGGCAGACAGAGCCAGCTGCACAGTTCAGTACAGCCACCCAGCTGGGCACACACATCTTTCCAGGCAGGGGTGTGGGTTTCTCTTGAGGCCAGGGGCCTCATGCACTCTACATGATCTTCTGGGCAACCAAAGTCCGTAACTCAATCACATACCATATCTATTTCTCTGATTCTGTATCTATCTACACATAGGCCCCTCATCTTCACACACACACACACACACACACACACACACACACACACACACACTACAATGGATTAAACAAGGGGCCAAGGATGCAGTTCCATTGACAGAGTACCTGTCGGGCATGCTCAAAACCCTGGGTTCTATAAACCGGGCATGATTGCACACACCTGTAATTCCAGCACATGGGCAGTAGAGGCAGGAGGATCAGAACTCAAGGTCACCCTTGGCTACAGAGTGAGACTGAGGCCAGTCTGAATGACACGAGACCCCGTCTCAAAAGATGGTTCAAGGGTTTAGAGCACTTGTTGCTCTTGCAGGGGACTGGGATTCAATCCCAGAATGTACATGGTGACTTACAACCATCCATAAATCGTGGGAATCTGACACCCTCTTCTGACCTCCATGGGCATTAGACGTGTGTGTGGTACACATACCCTCATCAGACAAAACACTCATCCATATAAGA